ATTTTCATTCTAGCCGCTTCACACTCGGCTGCGAACTGTTCCAGTGAGAGCCGAAGGTCCCGGTCTGATGAGGCCAACAGAACCACATCATCTGCAAAAAGCAGAGACCTAATCCTGAGGTCACCAAACCGGACACCCTCAACACCCTGGCTGCACCTAGAAATTCTGTCCATAAAGGTTATGAACAGAATCGGTGATAAAGGGCAGCCGGTGAGGGCAGCCAACCCTAGACAAGATTTTAACAACTCTGAGCTATTACTTAAGCTTGATGGGCCGAATGGCCTCCTCTCATTTGTATAGTTCTTATGTTCTAACTGCCGTTTGGCGCATAAGCACAAACAACAGTCAGGACCCGTCCCCCCACTCGAAGGTGAAGGGAGGCTACCCTCTCGTCCACTGCGGTAAACCCCAATGTACAGGCACCCAGCCAGGGGGCAATAAGTATGCCCACCCCAGCTCGGCGCCTCTCCCCGTGAGCAACTCCATGGGTGCAGGCCTGGCCACCAGGCGCTCGCCATCGAGCCCCACCCCCAGGCCTGGCTCCAGGGGGGGGGCCCCGGTGACCCGCGTCCGGGCAAGGGAAATCGTGGATCCAATATTTTGTTCATCATTAGGGGTCTTGTGAGCCGCACTTCGTCTGGTTCCTCACCCAGGACCTGTTTGCCTTGGGTGACCCTACCAGGGGCATAAAGCCCCAGGCAACTTAGCTCCTGGGATCATTGGAACCCGCAAACCCCTCCACCACGATAAGGTCTCGGCTCCAGGAGAGGCCTCCACAGTTTAAACATAAGAACATAAGAAATTTACAAATAAGAGGAGGTCATTTGGCCCATCAAGCTTGTTTGGGGAGAACTTAACTAATAGCTCAGAGTTGTTAAAATCTTATCTAGCTCTGATTTAAAGGAACCCAGGGTTTTAGCTTGCGCTACACTACATATTGTAAGATTTTTTTTTATTTGGTTGACTTTATTCTTAATTCTGTTTTTGATTTGCACAGTCTAAGGGTCGTTCATGGTACATTTCACTGCACATTGGACTTGTATAACTATGTATGTGACAAATAAAGAATCTTGAATCTCAAAGGAGGCTTAGTCTGCACACAAAGCAAGACAACAGAAAGATTTATGAGATTTACAATGTGGATTTCAGTTCAGCCTTCTAACTTACAGTATGTTCCCAATACCCTCCGACAATCTCTTTGTGAGCGTAATACTTTCTCAGATGGTACGTGGTGTAAAAGTGTGTGAACTTGCTTTAGACAGCATGTGATGTTAAATTGGTCTGCCGATTGATCGTTGTCCACAGGGACTAAAAAAAAATTAATTCAGCACTGCTACCCAGCACCACCTACTGTTGTTCCTTTGTGGCTAGAAAATAAAAATCTCCCTTAAATGCTGCCAGGGAATATCTTCTGGTGCGTCTTCTGATGATCAGTCTGATGAAGTGCCAGGTGGATTTGGGTCTGCTAGATACACCTCCCATGGTCCTGCTTGCCAGCAGAAAGTGTCCTTGAAAGTGACCAATTATTTTTTACTCTGTGATGGACTCAAATTAGAAAGTAACAAAGTAAAGTTCCTGAAATAAATAATGCTTTAGTAAAAGTTTAAATATTGTTATTTAAAAATGCTTAAAAATATAACTTCACCAAAAAACTACTCCATTACAATAATAAGAGTAAATTTACTTGGTTACTTTCCATCCCTCAGAAAGTACATGGATATACAGACGCTGCTCTACTTACGAACTTTCATCTTATGAACTTTCAGACATACGAATGAAGAGGACTGTAAGTCTAATTTGTGTTCATTGGGCTCCCGTTTCCTGTCTACATCATCAATTTTTTTTTTCTGTGCGCCAATTCCGCCTAGTACAACTTCTGGCCGCTACTCCCGCCATGCAGCAGTGTAGCGTGCGTACTCCCAGCATCCTAGTTCTTTGTACTTGAGTATACCCTTAAAATGATGTTGAATAATGACTTACGAATATTTCAAGTTACGAACGGCCGTTCGGAACGTATCTCGTTCGTAAGTAGAGGAACTTCTGTATTGTATGATTACTGCAGTGGGGTGACATTCAGTGAGGTTTTGAGCTAACATACACTTTATGGCTAAATGTGGACACCCGTATTAATTAGGGCCACACCCATTGCTGACCCAGGAGCATAATTAAGCACTTAGTCACATGATCTCCTACAACAAATACTCTCAGTTTAGTGGGTGATTGTACAGTGAGAATTAGTGACTCTCCACTTGGCACAATCATAGGACAACATATTTCCAGCAATTTGCCACATTTCTACCTGTCTAAAGCTGCCCTGGTCAAACGCAGGTCAAAAAATCTGGGAGCACGTTGAGTTGTGAAGCAGTCGTCCACGCCAGCTCACAGGAAGGCCCGGGGTCTGTATCACAGACTCAGATTTGTAAGCTAGGTAACATCACATTGGAGGTACCCCAATTTAAATGCAATTTATCTTCTTTCACTACATTTAGCCCAGACTACTACAAGAAATATGGCTTTGTGATACAGGCCCTTGATCATTCAACATTAATCACCAACTTCAATGGCAATACATGAACATCTAATAGAAAGCTTTCTCAGAAGAGTATAGCAGCTAATGTGCGACCGACTTCATATTAATTACATTAGATTCAGAATGAGATGCCAGATGAGTTGGCGTCTACTTATTTTTGGCCGTATAATGTATGTAGAGAGATCCAGCATGAACGTAAGACATTGTACAGCACTATATTTATTGACATCTAATGGAAGGCTAATTCATAATGTGAGTAATGGATCCATTTGCGATACTCATTAATGATGTATGATGGATGGCCTGAAGCTTTATTCAGATGACACAGGGCACAAATTCCCAGTCCAGTGCTGGATTCAGTGTGATCGTAATGTGCTGTGATGTCTAGCTTTTAGTTTCACTCTAGACTGTTCCAGGAATCTTGCCTATACTCTGGATGTTTCTCAGATGCTGTCAGTGTCACACTCTGTTGACTGAATAGGTCTCTTGTCGGGTTCGTACTTTGTTTGAATGACTTTGTTTACCTCAAGCTCAGGGGTCGGGAACCTTTTTGGCTGAGAGAGCCATGAATGCCACATATTTTAAAATGTAATTCTGTGAGAGCCATTCAATATGTTTAAAACTAAATACAAGTAATTGTGTGCATTTTATGTAAGACCAACACTTTTAAAGTACAATAAGTCTCTGAATTCTTTTTAATAACGTTGTTATGCTGTTGCTAACCAATGATGAATAAAGTACTTCTTACCATTAATGCAACTTTAATTGCTAAAGCACCAGCAAAGCTAGCCGAATTCCAGTCACCTTGTTGGGTCCAAACACGGAGTTGCTGCTGAGTAGCTTGCACTCTGCACAGTAGCTCTTGACATGCTTCCTTCCTGCTGTCCCCCGCAGGATATTTCGATGCAAATGTAGTATGACGTGTGTCGAAGTGCCGCTTTATATTTGACCGTTTCATCGATGCAATTTTATCATTGCATATTAGACACACTGCAGAACCTGCTCTCTCCACAAAGGCGAATTCCTCTGTCCATTCCTGTTGAAAAGTACGATACTCCTCATCTTTTTTTCTTTTAGCCATCTTCTTCGATAAAAGGGTTTCTGCAATTAGCTAGCTGACTACTTGATTAAAAGGAGGAAGGTTTACTTCCTGACCTCACAACGACCCGTCTACCTTACGCATTATCCAATAAAAATTTGGTGTTGTCCCGGAGGACAGCTGTGATTGGCTCCAGCCACCCGCAACCAGGAACATGAGCGGCAGGAAATGAATGGATTGAAATACATGAGAATGTTTTATATTTTTAACGTTTTTTTTTTTTTTTATTAAAGATTTGTCTGCGAGCCAGATGCAGCCATCAAAAGAGCCACATCTTGCTCGCGAGCCATAGGTTCCCGACCCCTGCTCTAGCTCCAATACCGCTTACACTTGTACCTGGGCATTCACTGGAAGCTCAGCCTAGCTGCACTTACGCCTAGTCAGACATATGTAACGCACTATTTGCCTCACTTGTACATCACTTTGGACAAGGGGTCTGTTATATGTAAATGTAAATTCTTGTAGTAGATTTGGAACCACCAGCAACAAACTGCCCTCCCTCCCTCCATCCATCCATTTTCCAACTGCTTATCCAGTATAGATTCAAGGGGAGCCTGGATGCCATATGTGGAAGCACAGACTACACAGCAGAGTATCTCCATGGACTGGATGGCCTGGCAGAGGTGTATAGAGCACAAACACATACACACACTTTAAGGGAATAAGAGATCAATAAGTAAGTCGTGGTATATGGTGGTGTGCTCAGTATATGATGACAGTTTTCCTAAAATTAGATTTAAAAAATTGCAATATATCAGTTATATATATTGCTTACAGTATTGCCATATGTTGAATGGTAATACCCGTAACATGATACGTATCGTCTCACCACATTCTTGCCAATGCACAGCCATAGAATCTATGAGAGCTTTTGCCTAGGCAATGTCGATTGGACAGATAGACTTAGTCTGATTTTTTAGACCCGCCTGGAAAGCAGGCTTTTCTGCATGGTACAAACAACTTGATACAAACTGTCCTAGCAATGTATGTCACACCTGCACTTGATGTTTCCCATTTCTTGTGAAGGTAACTTGATGTCATTCTATGATTCAAGAACAAGATGAAGAAAAAGATCTCTTTCCGAATCTAACATGATTAATATGAAGTTGGTTGGCTCATTGCTGCTAACGGTCATCGCTGGCATTAGAAAGTTGCTTCTGCCCTCTACCTGGCTGGTTTCTGGTCATTCCCAGTATCTCCTGCTTCATGTTATTCTTGTGTGCTGCTGTCTTAGAAATTTTGAACCTGGAAGCAACCTGCTGCTCGGCGTAGCTTCAGCCAGTAGAACTAGGATTAAACCAGGATTTAATAATGCAGATTTGTTCAAAAGTTTAGTATGAGTAGCTAACCAACTAAAATAAAGAAAGACCTTTTTGGTTACACAGTCAGCTGTCTATGCTGTTTCCCCTGTTTAAAAAAAAATTACCTTCCGCTGCTGTTATCTAGTAAGTCACAGTGAGTCTTGTGAGGGGCGGATCTACGTGACGGTGCTGGTAGTGATATGAGTAAGCCACCTCAGGGTTTTTCCTTTGCCCTTGGTGGTAGTTGGGGCGGTAAAGCAAACAGTGCTTCAAAGGACACAGAACCAGAGTTGGAAGACATTCTGTGTCCATAGATCATTCCAAGGGTCAATGTTCCAGATTGTATAACAGTACCAGCTAGCATTTTCCAAATAAGACAGTTATTAAAGCAAAGGTTTTCTAGCATGATAAACATCAAGGCTGATTATTGCATTGAAGGTTCAATCAGCAGTTGTTCTACTAAGTGCTGACTGCTAAATTCTTGTTATATCTCTGGAACTGGCAGCTTGACAGTTTTTTTCTAGGCCTCAGTCCATGTTGTGCAGGATTTTTCCTAAATTACAACTAAATTTACCTGAATTAGCGGGTTATGAGTCTATGCCTGTGACAGGAAGGTCTCTAATCTCCAGGGACAGCAGAATAATGTCACTGACTGACTGACCCTGCCTTCATCAAAAATGTATGTCACTTTGGATGGAAACATCTGCTAAATACACTAAATGTAAATGTGTGCTTTTTGGAGAATACTTGGAGGAAAGTCGTGACATCGGGAGAACATGCAAACATTTATTGTGCAATATCATACTAATTTATGTAAATGATGTTCCTGCTGATGTTGGAGAATGGCAGACTTCAGCAGATAACTCTTAATGAGAACAACTGTCCATTTTCAATATATTTTGATTAACACAACACAAATGACACTGATGATAATGGTCATAATTCAGACACTGGATTGAATTATTTTGGTTATAATCCAGGCACCATATTGAATTCCCCAGCTCCAAGTGGAGAATTGATTATATATGCATTTATGAATGTGTATAATTTTTTGAGTTTGCACATGAATAACTTACCACCATGCCTAATATATATCAGAATTCATCCCTATGGAAACGAAAATGTCTGTTCAATGTGTCAATACATAGAACAGTCAGTGCATCAGAATGTCAGTGCATCAGACTGTCAATGCATAGAACTGTCAGTGCATCAGACTGTCAATGCATAAAACTGTCAGTGCATCAGACTGTCAATGCATAGAACTGTCAGTGCATCAGACTGTCAGTGCATAACACTGTCAATGCATAGCACTGTGAGCGCATCAGATTATCAATGCATTGAACTGTCAGTGCATAAGACTGTCAGTGCATGAATGCTACAGCACAGTGCTTTTCAAACACCAGCATAGCATTTACATTTGCTTGAGTGAAGCATTGATGAAATTATGGTCCATGTTGTACTCCAAGGATGTGCATAGCTAAAAAATAATGTGATGCATGGTACAAACAATAAAAAAGTCACATTTGTGAATCGAAATGTTATCTTTGAGTCCAGTGGTTATATTTAATAATAAATATATAGTATGTATTTCATTATGTGTTTATAATAATAAATACTGTATAAATATTATATATTTCTAATTATGCATATATTTTAATTATTAATATAATAAATATAATGCTGCGAGTTTAAATGGTAGAGATATGCATGTTGTTGTTGTGCTTGAACCAGACATTTCCATGGAGTAAGTGCCTGTATTTAGTTGTCAGAACTTGTCTTGGGGTCTACAGTCAGATGTCCTTCATGGTCTTTTCCCGAGGCTTTGAAAGAGGCAGGTACAGTGAGAAAAGGTTTCCATTCGCTGAGTTCATTATCAAAAAGTGTGATATGATACAATGGGCAAAACAAAACTGTCACAGGCATTCAAAATATGCTTTGTGCAAAACACAAAACAGAGAATGAAGCCAAATAGATAAAGACTGAGGGTGGTATGGGTGACACAGCCCCACCGGGCTGAGTTTGGTCGCTGGAGAATTTGTCTTCGATTTGGTGAGAATAGACCCTGTTTTCTTCCTCTTCATCTTTCAACGGTGTGTTAGATGTTGAGGCTTCACAGAGTGACTTTTCAGTAAGAGCACATTGATCTAACCACTTTGAAAAGACAGCCTTTGTGTAGTTTAGAAGTGTTTCAGGAGACGACACTACAACGTTAGCTTTTGTTGAATGAATGCCCGATATCTGTAGGTAGAGGAAAAAAGGAAAAAATGCATTTAATTTCGTCTCATCTACGGTGTATAATGTAAGACATATTAACATTCACCTGATATTTTCCTTGGGTGCAATAATTGATAGCCAGCGTGCTGCTAGGTAGTTCTCTGACACACTATCATGGTTAAATTTAAACATGTATACAGAAAGTACCTCAATACCCCGTGGCCCTAAATTGTTATATATTTGCACAGTTTAATGTGATTTTTCTCCTTGTTGCACATTGTATTTTGTTATATGTCGTTACATGTTGCATTGCGATCCATGGAGAAACATTATCTCACGTCACTATGTATGGCTGTTGAAGACAATAAAGTAACCTTGAAAGCCATGATCACACCAGGGCACTTTTGGTATTCAGGTCACTGTAATTGCAATAGCTGGCTATCTATGAACACTCCCTAGGTGACACTTCATATGTAACGTGATAGCGCAGCCAGGGGTGGTCATACAGGCTGATGGGGATAACTATACCTTCGCTATCCAAGCTGGCTTGCCTACTTCTATTGGGTAGAGACTCAGCTTATGCAGTACAAGCTCACAACAGATTGCTCACAAGAGCCATTATCTCTAGCACTAATTCAGTCTGCAGTACTTCTACAGTGGCTTCTTCCCATAAGTTTTTGTACTGTTTTATTAGTACAGTACTTTTTACAGTACTTTTATGCTGATTTTATGCATACAGTACTTTTGTACTGTTTGTATGAATATAGTACTTCTTGTAGTATTTATATACTCTCTGAGTACAGTACTTTTTACAGCACCTTTATGGTCTTTTATACATACAGTACTTTTAACAGCACTTTTATGCCATTTTTATGCGTACAGTACTTTGTACAGTACTTTTATACTGTTTGCACGAGTACAGTACCTTTTCCCATGCTTTTCCCTACCTAGCATACAACTCTCTTTCGACATCTGTACATGTTTAGATGAATTTTGGTCTCACCTAAAACAATTTCATCTTAATCCAAAATAATTTCACCTTCTTGCAAAATTACAGAGGATCTGCATCCTATGTTCCTCCAACACCTGCCTGTCTTCTGATTAATACAGGTGGTATGTGGCAATCTTTTTCGTGGTAATACCTCAGATCTTCTCCCCACAATCAGCAACGCACAGCTCCTCATACTTGGTCGCCGAGCCGCTCTTAATGTGTTCATAGCTCATTATGTCATTATACGCTGCTAATAGCTACCCTGAGATTTGCAAACCTGGACGCGATGGATCAAAATATTGTTATGTACCTGATTTGAAATTTGGTTGAGATTTCTTTTCAGCTCTCTGATGAAGGGGTGTCTGTAATGTTGTCTCCACAGTTTCAAAAGAAGCTGAAACCAGGAATGAGAGAGATCTGCAGCAGCTTGGAAGACACAGCACTGTGAGAGAGAAGAAGGAGAGTGTGAGGGTTAGGGTTAGGGTTAGGGTTAGGGTTAGGGTTAGGGTTAGGGAAACAATGACAGACATCACTGACTGGCTAACAGAAAGCGAAACAAAGAGGAAAAGAGGACAGGATAAAATGTTAAGGACACAGGGGCGCAGCATCAAGAACAGGTTGTTGAAAGGAAAGGCCTCTCACCTTGAATACTTTTCACACCTGTTTACAATTCAGTTTGTTTTACTACATCTATGACTATGCATTACACATGCAGTTGAAAAATATTACACATTTTCTATGGTGACAAAGATCCTATATTACGGGTATCTACAATCAAAATTAAGAATAGGATAGGACCCATAAATAGAATATGAGTCAAGCACAAAATACAGAGGAAAACAAATCACTCAGTCTTACCGGGTCATTGTCACACAATAGGGAATCATTATAAGGATGAGAAATTTCGTAGTCTTTTGGAAAAACTTCTCGCTGTAATGTCAAAAAGAATAAAAATCAAATCAATGCAATACATTATATAGTTAAATAGAACAAAAAAGAAACTGGTACGTTCAATATGTCACAATATGACACAAACAGCCACAGAGAGGGTTATCTATAGATTACAGGAACAATGGGATTTATCCATCAGTATAAAAAATATACAAATATAAGATTATAAGAGCTAAATAATTATACACAATTTTTAAACATGATTATCGAAAGAAACTCACAAAGCCATCAGGACCCATCTCATCGATATAAATCAATTGATGTTTGATGCTTTCTTGTAAGATTTCATCACACCCTCTTCCTCGGACAAGCAAAGCAGACAAGAGCACTAGTACTGTGCATAATAAGGAGAGAGAGAAATATTGAGATTTTAATTAAACATATCATTTAAAATTTAGAGAATTATTGCTGTTGTTGCAAAAGAAAGCTGCCTCTTTTAATGAATAAAAATAAAAAACAGATTGCAATAAGCACACATCCAGAGTGGTAATTTAGTGTCATCCTGCTGAAGCATCTTCAAACTGAAACAATGCTGAGACAGACAGCCGATGCAATACTGATTTCAAATTAATGAAGCCAAACAGATTATGCCGTCATCAAAGAAACCGGGATAAATCTGACGTATTAACGTGTTGTTAATAGCTTGTAAATTTATAGAAATTATCCTAAACTAAGATATAGTCAGACATATGGTTATTTAATATTCTTATCAGTGCGGAGTCTACTGCTCTGTTTATTTATATATAAGAAGTATAATGAGTCTTACCGTGTAGTTTCATGCTTTATCTTACCCAGAGGATACAACTCTCCATTTCTTTTATATACATATATAAGTATATATAGACTATTTTTGGCCGCTAATTGCTTATTCACCTAGTCAGTCTCCTGTCTGCTTAACTATTCCAGGCGTTTCTGAAATGGTATTTAATATTTGCTTTCCCTTCAGACGAAAATGCCTGAGCTCCTGTTAAATTCTAAAGCCGAAATCAGCTCCCCGGTACATTTGGTACTTTCCAATCCTTTAGATCACCTTCACTTTCATTATGGATTTCAAAAGCTCTGAAAGGATGAAGTGCACCAGACCATTATCTCACCATGTTCTACAGTATAAACTGATTTTAACTGAAAGAATCCCCCTTCTTTTATAACTGCTAGAAGAATATGAGAGCGATAGCAACGTCCTACTTTCTGACTGCCTTCTACTAGTATTTAGCGTGGAAAGTGAAAGCACTCCAGCAGTCACCGTGGCCGTCCCACCCAAGGTTTATTATTAAAGGCACCTCCCCCTTATATAGATGTGCATGTTTTTGCTTTTTGTAGTTAAGGATTTAAATATCATTCTTTGAATCACCCGGGAATAGGCCTACGGTTCCTTGACTTGTGCTGTAACCCGTACGAACCACCGCAGAACCGACATGTGCACGTTTAAAACTTCTGATTACTGAATCTGTATTTAAATAATTTCGAACATTATCGATTTGAGACTTTTGGGGCAATTCGTAAGATTGTAAACACAATTATTAAATTATAAAAGACTTGTCTCATTTACGCTTTTAGGTTTGATATTGCAGGATTAAATTTCATTTTCTGGTATAGCGCCGTTTTATCTCGCAATAGAACATTATACCACTTCGTTAGCTCAATTTTTCTTTTAGCCACAAGTCACTAACCTGCATTCCTGACTAATGTGAAAACAGCAATTATAGTTGAGTTTTCGTTATCAAAAACCAAATACACTTTGAACGTACACTCCCAGTTAAATATTTAAATACCGTAAGCATATAGAGCATATAAATGGGACCATCGTGATAAAGCAAACCAGGCAATTGCAAATGTTTTTAACGCTTTATACTTTAAAAGCTTAAATTTTATATAGACAAATAATTCACTCTGATTGAAGCATCAACTAGTTTGGCAATCCGGCTCGTCATTCAAAATTCATTTCACGTTTTATGTTAAATCTATGTCGTAATAATCGATTATCCGTATATAAAAATTGTTTTGCGGTCAGAAAAAAATGTTTTGCGTTGAGTTTAGCAGCTTGCCGTGACTTTGCCACCCTGCCCCATTCCAGGTAAGTTAATATCCACACGGTGGCGCTAAAGGGAACAAAGAATAACGTTGACAGTCACAGTATTTTAATAGGTTGCATTTTTTAACAATTTAAAAATACAATCATTCAAATACATTTTGGGAATAGTGTTACTTCTGTATTTTAATAAATTATGTATAGTTTAAAATTATGCGTTTTACAAGAAAAAAAGAATCTTGTGTTAATTTTTTTAAAAAAGGGTTCTGTGTTTGTCAGTCAGAAATACTTAGTATTACAGCATAACACATTTTAACAAATATATGCAAAGTGAGAAAGCCCCCACTCACTGACTCTCCTCTCCTCCCCCCCAATGACTCGGCATCCTCTCCCTCCACTCACTGACTCTCCTCTCCCCCCACTCACCGACCCGGCGTCCTCTCCCCCCACTCACCGACCCGGCGTCCTCTCCCCCCACTCACCGACTCAGCATCCTCTTCCCCCATTCACTGACTCAGCATCCTCTCCCCCCACTCACTGACTCAGCATCCTCTCCCCCCACTCACTGACTC